TTGTCTGTTTTTCAAGGAAAAATGCTTTTCAAAAATCAATCGGAAATTCAATCTTTAAATTTTCAAAGAAAGCAGAATCTATTGAAAAAAAGCTGTTTTCAATCGAAGATTGATTTTGCTAAAAAATCAATCGTCCTATTGATTTTTTTCAATAGAGGAGCCTTTGGGTGGACAAGGTGATCTTCAACCACCCGCGAAGAGGCAGAGTAGCCAGGCAGCCGGAGAAGGGATCATCATCTTCTTCGACAGCCGTCCGGACCAGAAGCACCTATGGCAACTTGAGAGACATGGCCAAAAACTACGTCAGATCTTTCAAGAAAAGGGGCTTCAAGGACCTTGTTGACCGACTCGTCCGCGACCCGTTCTTTCAGTTCAATGCGGCGAATCAAAACTTGGTGCCGGAGGCCTTGCTCTTCATTGAGCGTTTGGCTGGCTGCGTGAGCCCGACCATTGAGCGCACCAAAGCTCAGGTTCTTGGTGAAAAGCTTGAGATGGCCACCAAGTTGATTTTTGTGCCATCGTCGGAGCGGGAGCCCGACCAACCCTTGGATCTTCACACCGAGGTGTTTGTGTCGCATCGGGGCGTCTTTCTCGACATTGGCCAATTCGCAGTCTATGTGGCGAAGTTCATCAAGCCAAGGCAAAGGCCTCTACCCATTGTTTATGGATGGGGCAACCGTGACTTTGTGCCTGATGCTTCGGATGCCAAGGAGATCGCGAAGGAATTGGTGGAGTTCAGTAAGCTGCAATGGTCAAACTATGCCTCCCAACAGACGCACAAGGAGTCTGAAACCACCGGCGACGACCGGAAGGTCAGTCTTCCTCATGCAAGTGCAGCCATCAGCCGACCTGAACATGAACGACCCCATCACGAGCAATTTGAGCCAAATCTTGGCAAGCCTGCTCGCGGCGGTCCTTACGGCCAGGGCTGTGGTGGAAAAGGTCATCACAAAGGTGGAGGACAGACCAAAGGAAAGGGACAGCAGAAGGGGAAGGGCAAGCAAGGCAGAAGCCCACCGGGAGGTGTGGCCTATGATGACTTTGAAGGAGATTCCTACTGGGTTCAGGGCTACCGCTACACGTGGTACTGGAATCAACAGCGAGGCTGGTACTGGCGCTGGACCTGAACTATGGGATGACTCGCATTGACGCTTAGGTCATATCTTTCTTTTTCAAATTTGCTTGCCGGGAGGCATGCCTGTCTATGACAAACTTGGCAGGCATTGCACCCATTGAACAAACCAAAGTTTTGACGCACATTATGCATTATCCCATTCCAATGAACTTCAATGCACAAATTTCCGCACAGTTTGAGCGAATTAAAATTTTACTTCAATGACTTCTCAAGCCATATAATTGGATGTTCAAGGCAAGATGCAAATCGATTCACACCTTTCATGGCTGTACAGTTTTTCCTGCCATGGTATCCTTTTGGGGTGACATCACAGGAATGGTATTGTTCCTTCATTCCAATTGAAGATGCCTGGCGGGAGCCACGGCCGTGCTGTGTGCAACTTCGAGCCCAACATCGGCACAAAAGGAATATGTGAGCCTTTGCATTCGCCCAACACTGCCTTGACATCCGAAAGTCCCATGTCCATACGCATTCGGCCTAACTGTGTAGCTTCGAATCTTCTGTTCGCTTAGGTCTCATTGCGGCGGCATACTGCAGGCACTGTTATGCTGGAGCTGCTAAGCAGCTACAGCATACGGGGGGTATTTTTACGGGATAGTAATCTACACTGTTCTTACTCCCCTGTAAAGTGTGTCCTGTAGTAATTGTACATTCTTTGGGCTCAAGGCTCAAGACAAAAATAAGTGTGCTGCGATTGCTGGTTGATATAGGTTGCATAACCTGTAAGAATAATATCATTATATATCTATATATGGTTTCCCGAGTTTCCTGTAGCTATTTTTCCCTTACTCCAACTCAGTGAAGGTCGTGGAAAACCCGTTTCTGTGTTCAGGCTCCCAGTGGAAACCTGTTGCTCGTTGGGCAGCCCTCCATCGAAAAGGCGCAAGACTTGGTACATCCCAATATATGCACCATGTGTGCTTCAAATCCTTAGATTTGCATATTAATTTGCTTATTTGCATTTCATGTGACATGTGTTCAAAATGTATGACTATATGTATATAAACTATAATAATAAATAATAATAATAACAACAATAATAATAATATAATATATATATAATATATAATTTATATATATAATATATATAATATATATATATAATATATATATATCATATATAATATATATATAATATATATATATATAATATATATATATGATATATATATATATATATATATATCCTATCCACAGTCGATGACATTTTTTGCAGTCTCATGGTTCAGGTGCCGGGCTCCATTTCTCGCCATGAACCTGTCAGGACGGTGGTATTGGGCAATGCCTTTGTAGCCAAAGTGCGCAGGCACGGCCGGTGGCCAACCTGGGCCCCATATCCTCCACATCCTCCATGTAGATCCTCCATGGCATTGGTTGTCGCTTGCTTGAAACGAATCTTCTGCATGTTTTAGGCCATATCATTGCCCACTCAGGGTCCATAGATCTTTCCCAGACTTAGAATTGGAAATAATTGGAACATACAGGAAATGTTGTAGGAAACATCCTATATGTGGATATATATATATATTTGAGGTGAAACGGTGAACAAAAATCTATGTTGTTCGGTAGATTTGCCCTTCAACCAATGGTTGCCAGGTTGGTTATGAGGGAGATGTCGGGTGCCCCCAGAAGTCCCAAGGGATCCCCTTGGAGCCATGGCGCATGGGAATCCCATGGGTTTCAAGTGGAAATTAGATGTCAAGTTCATTTAACGTGTGTGTATACAATGTCAAGGCAGGATTAATCAACACCCCGTTATTAATCAACCACCTCCTCCCACTTTTTTTTTTGCAATTTAAAAACAGGTGGTCCCCCAGGATTAATAAACCGTTTGGCTAGGACATGATGAAATCAACCCCCTGTGCTGAAATCCATTTTTTATCCAACAATTTGTTATTTCCAATTCTATTTATGTCCAATTGTTTTTTACCTTTTTTTTAATCATCATTGTTATACTTAAGGTTTAAGTTGATCATTGAAATTTAAAAAAACAACTATTCCCCAAATGATCGATTTATAATTATTTTTTAAATAAAAATTACTTTACTTCGTGTGATCCCCACCATGACATTTATACATTTTCTTACTGGCAAATCTTCTGGCATTCTATCTGACATATCTTCTGACATTCTATTTGACATTCTATCTGGCATATCTTCTGGCATATGATCTGGCATATCTTCTGGCATATCTTCTAGCATATGTTCTGGCAAATCTTCTGGCATTCTATCCGGCATATCTTCTGGCACTCTATCTGACATATCTTCTGGCATTCTATCTGGCATATCTTCTGGCATATATTCTGACATATCTTCTGGCATTCTATCTGACATATCTTCTGGCATATATTCTGAAATATCTTCTGGCATATCTTCTGGCATATCTTCTGGCATATCTTCTGACATATCTATCTGGCATATCTTCTGGCATATTTTCTGGCATTCTATCTGGCAAATCTTCTGGCATTCTATCTGGCATATCTTCTGGCATATTATCTGGCATTCTATCTGGCATATCCTCTGGCATATCTTCTGGCATATCTTCTGACATTCTTTCTGACATTCTTTCTAACTTTCTTCTGCACATTCTTTGTCCCATATCTTCCTACATGAGGTTCGGCAGGGAACACTTGGCGTGGATACTCGCGGTTGAGGTCCGGCAGGGAACACTGGGCGTGGATGGTCGTGGTTGAGGTCCGGCAGGGAACACTGGGCGAGGATGGTCGTGGTTGAGGTCCGGCAGAGAACACTGTGGATCGCGGGTCGCAGTTGAGCAAGGACGACGAGGACGACGAGGAGGACGAGGAGGAGGAGGAGAGGAGGACGAGGCAGGAGGAGGCGGAGGAGGAGGAGAAGGAGGAGGAGAAGGAGGAGGAGGACGAGGAGGCAACTGACATAAAATCTAACAACCCTCACCTGGCAGGTGGGGAATCATCAGTTTGGATAGCTCCCAAAGGGTACCCCCATGAGCCCATGTCCCGCATTAATAATAATCAGGGTTTGCCCCTGATTAATCAACCACCATGTCCCTAATGTTTTTTCTTTGGATTTGCCTATTCATTCCCAATGTCCCCCATAGCTTTCAGCCAATTGACGTAAGCCATATCCAAAATTTTATGGTTCAGAGGCCGTTTATTAAAGGGTGCTTAAGGGGGGACCTACAAAGTAGAGTTCTGACCTTCTGGGGGGGGTTATTAATCCGGTGTTGGCATTATATATATATATATATATATATATATAGTGAAGATCAATAGTGATCAGTATAGTTGATTGGGGGTCCCGCTTATTTCATGTTTTCCAAGATTGATCTTCACTTTTATACTTTTGTCCTCCTGTCAATTGTGATTTGAAGAGACGGTCATTTCCATGTTACGTGTCACCCGTTGGGATGACAATTGCTGGCTGAGAACCCGCTTCTTTCGCGACATTCTGCGTGGCCAGCCGCTGAGTCACTGCTGGTCATGGAATGCGATTAAAACCTAGGTAACTCATTATGATTGCATAGGCAAATTCAGCTGCATGAATGGATTTTGACCGTTCGGCATGGATGGTTTTGTGCCTTTCCGTGCTCAACGCCTCTTGGCATCCTACCTGGCAGCCAAGTGGCTCAGATGTTAGTGCCCAAGTCCCAAGTCTTGGATTGAAACATCCCACCATCCCAGACCCAATCTTCTCCATGTTTCATGTATATACCATTTTTATTCTTACTTTCTTGAGGATGGGTTCATTCCGGTACATTTTGTTCAATCAGTTGCTGCGAATATAATTATATATATGCATATGCACATTAGTACTCATTAGTATTCCGAACAAGTATAAAACGATACAACGTTGGGTGTTGTATATTACTTGGGTTATATGCTGCGTATTATGCATTTTACGCGTCCCTTCAGCTGTGGCGCTGCAACCACTGGAGCTCACTGCAGGCTGCTCAAGCTGATCCACTGGCGCTGTTCGCTTTGGGAGATTGTAGATTCTTGTAGATTGTACCCTCTGGTAAACTAACATAACTATGGAAATCACCATTTTTAATAGGTAAACCATCTATAAATGAACCATTTTCCATGGCTATGTTAAATAACCAGAGGGTAGATGTTTGTTTCTAGTATTATACATGTATATATCCATCTATATTGGAAGCCTGGACGGCGCACCTAGCTGAATTTCTTCTGTTTACCCATCTATAAGTCACAATATGGATTCAATTCGACTGAATTCATTTGCTTTGTTTGCAGAAAGCTTGGCCACTTTGGTTGCACTTGGAGTTTCACTGGCAGGAATGGCGCAAGACGCAGCGGAACTGCAGCTGCCCAGCGTGAGCGGATGGAGCGTATATTTGGTCAAGGCGAGATGTTGAGAGACTGGAAGAGGTCCTTTGTGCTACAGGTTTTTGGGCAAGGCATGGATCAAGCAGCATGTCAAGCCATGACGCAGTAAAGTCGAAGATAGATGAAATGATATGTGGTTTTATTATGGAGCCTCGATATATGCTCATATTTTCAACATGCGGTACATGCTTGGTAATACTGCCCTCATCCGGGTACTATGTTGCTTCAGGATGCATCGGATCCCATAGTTGTGCCTTGTTTGCAGACGAGGGGGGCAGCAAGTGCTGATAATGAGGGTGCTTCAGTGTAGCACTGAACATTCCAAACAAACACAGCGTACCACATACTCACCTTTTTTGTTTTCCCATGTTTTGTTTCTGTCTACAGCTCTAGATATATACCGTACCCCACAAACATGCCTACACAACTTTATGGTTTTTTGTTACATGGAACCCCCAAAAAGTTCCAAAGATCCTCAGAAATGCTATATGGACCTCCTTTGGGCCTGGCGTATCTGGCGTTCCTGACATCGGATCCCTTGGGCCGGCGTCAGGCGGACTTTCTCGACTTGAAGGATCCAGGTAGCCACCTGTCACGCGAAGGAAGTCATTTCATCGTGGAGGGCCCTGAGGTCAGGGATGCCACGATGGCCACATGTTTTTCTAAAGACCATTTCTTCTATGGCATATAGGTTTATTATTTATTATGGTTTATTTTCTCCAGTGACTCACCCTTCCAGGCCATCCGCTTGCTGTTGGCCAGCCGATTTGTGCCCTGGATTTCTGGGGCATTTCTGGGATGGACCTTGGGCTAAGCTTATGTAGCAGATCCCTACGTTTGCAGCCTAGGGATCTGATGTTTAGCCTTGATTGCTTGATTTGTGAGTGCTTAGTATTGTTTTTTGGTGAGAACAGCTGATGGCTGAAGTGTGGCTTTCTACACATTTACTGTGTAGTAATTTGTCATCATGGTGATGGAATGTCATGGCCCATGTTGCGTTGGATCTGCAGATTCCTGCAAGAGGAGACACGGACTATCGACTTGTCTATCCTTGTCATGGGATTGCGAGGCCCTAAACCCAGTACTCCAAGTTGGCAGATGATTTGCTGCTATTTACCCTCTGGTAAACTAACATAACTATGGAAAATCACAATTTTTAATGGGAAAACTCACTATAATTGGCCATTTTCAATAGCTATGTTAAATTACCAGAGGGTAGATTAAGATCATTTGGGGATCCCAGTCAGCCTTCATCCATTTTGTCATTCCTTGTTCAGAAGACACCAACAGTTCCTTGGATAATTGTGTGTTGATTTTTACTTGTGATATCCTGGGATGATGATAGGTAACTTTCAGATTCTTTGGGGCTTGGGAGGTGTGAAATCAACAACCAGCCACTAGTAAGTGTTTGTTAAGGTTTGTTATGATTCCAAACAGATGCGTTTGAATCCTTCCTTCATCCGTCATCCATCGTCCATCCCACCATATCCCACATTAAAATCTTCACAGAATCATCCGGCACGGTTGGTTGGGGAAAGCCACAATCGGTGTCCGACGATCGCCCAGGTGACGCAGAAAGTCTTGCTGAAAGCTTCGTTGCTGGAGTCCCTGCGGCCCAGCTTGGAAAGTGCCATGGCTGCAGGGAGATGATCCAATGACCCACAGGAAGGGCCATGGAATCCATGGCCGTATTCTGGTTGGTGGTTTCAAAGATTTTTTATTTTCCATTGGGATAATCCTTCCCATTGACTAATATTTTTCAGAGGGTTAAAACCACCAACCAGTATTTAATGGCCAAACCATTTGGAAAAGGCATGAAAAGTTCATGGATGGGAAGCAGATTTCTGAGGGCTGCAAGGGCACTATCGCTTCATGTGAGTGCTTTGTCCAACGTATGCTTGGTGTGCTCTGTGCGCCGCGGGGCCTTCAGTCTTGTTAACGATCCGGAGTTGCAAATTGAGCTGAAGATGAGGTGCTGATCGGAAGGAAGCATGTAAGGCACTTCTGCTTCTCTGCCTCTCAGCTGCCAAGAGAATTCCAGGATATTCCAGGCATTATATTCCCAGTGCCTCATGGTTGACCAGAGGGATTGAGCACCAGTGAGGATTTTGTAATTAAAGTTCGTGCATGAAATCAAGTTGAGATAAGATAAGCTGAGCAAAAGCAATTTTTGTTGGACTCCAGTAACTTCCGGTGCGGCTTGCCATGCTTGTACTATATAGTTACTAGGCCGAACTATTCCCAAGTGAAACATTAACGTCTGCAGAAGCCCATCTGTTTCCAGCTATGTCCCTATTTTTTGCTCTTTTCCCCACTTCCTCGATCCTCTCTCAGAATTGGCTTAAGCTGTTCCAAAACCTACAGGAAGCGAAAATCGCATGCCAAAGCCATAGGTTTTTTCTGCAACTTTTTCCTTCAAGCAATTCACCAAAAGACGGAAAAGTAAAATCCTACTAAAACAGCACGTCCTAAGTAGTAACTTTATTTTCTTTTTTTCAGGTGGTCATTGGGTCACCATAGTTATAACTATCGGAGGGTTAGGAGAGACCGGTTCGGAGCTATTATTGTATCCATCATACACCCTCATGGGGAGCCAAGAAGCTACTGTATATATAAGAGTTCCCAACCACCTGTTAGCCACCCTTATTTCAAATCTAATAGTGTCAACCCCAAGTTATAAGCCCCGGTTGATTCATTGGGGTGGCTCCCCCTATACAGTCATAATTTGCTACTAAAATGGTATCCCCAAAACAAAATCAAAATAGAACAGCTGAGGGCTTGATTCATTCAATTAATCCAAGGTTGCATTGCCCCGTAAATATCACATAAAAATCGTTCAACCTCCCATAATCCGAAGTTAATTGTTGGGCATACCGGCATACCAGGCAACATTTCCGACATACTATACTCTACCATGTGCACTGCATTAAATAAGACGTCAATCAATAGCCAACATGTAACATTATATATATATATATATATAAATTTAGTTGTATACTCAAACAGGTAGAGCAGATGACAGATGAGCAGCTAATTCGTCGAAATTGTCAATATTTTATTCTAACGGAGCCGGTTTACTAATGGTAATTACTAACCACTATGCATTCACCACTAACAACATCTAACAGGTTGGTGGTTTGGAACATGTTTTTTCCATAATATATCGGATAATCCTTCCCATTGACTAATATTTTTCAGAGGGGCTGAAACCACCAACCAGCTACCCTCTGGTAAACTAACATAGCTATGGAAAATCACCATGTTTAATGGGAAAGTCCACTATTAATGGCCATTTTCAATAGCTACGTTAAATTACCAGAGGGTAATAACTATTCACCTCTTAACCTCTGGCTGTTTTTTGGGAAACCGCGTGCGATTTCCCAGGCGACGCCGGCCTCATGGAACGCATCACCTGCATCCCCGCGCGCCACGCCTCCGCCGCCCTGGCCCTGGCGGAGCGCGCGGAGCGGCAAAGGTCAGGCGCTGCAACGTGGAAGGTGACTTGGATGGGAGATGGTTGGTGGTTTTTTCTGAGGAAACATTGAGATGGGGTCCCAAAATGCAGTTCTGGATAGTTCTGGTATGTTCTGGTTTATGTGTCAATGGACATATGGAAAAAATCATCACAATGGTTGATGTTGGGTAAAACTGTAAAACCATGAATGAAAAACATTGAGGGATGAGTTTTTTTTTCAGATACCTAAATCGCTACAACCAGCCCACGACATCACCATTTCCGACATAGTGCTGAGTTGATCCTCAGGAGTTGCTGAAGCCGGGGCCACTGAGAGCATTGGCGCTGAAGCAGTTGGATGAGGCTGTCATGAGTTGGCCATCGTTTAACGAAATCAGAGGGGCTGTATGCAGGTCTACAGTGCCCTGGAGGAAACACATAATATATATATATATACATGTCTAATTTATTTATTTACTTTATATATTTATTAGCTGCATAATGATAACGACAATAAGGACAGTAAAATCAAGAGCAATACATTTAAAAAAAAACAACTTCGACCCCCGCCCTCTCCTGGGAGCTATGTATTACATGTAATTATATAATAATTATATTAATATATATATATAATATTCTTTCATTTTGTTTCTTCTTCTCTTTTCTTAGGGATCTCTAGGAATCTCTGGGCATCTCTGGAGGATCTCTGGAGGATCTCTGGGGATCTCTGGAGATCTCTCTTTTTATCACCGATGAAAAAGGAGAAAAACAAAGGACAATCACTGCCATTACATATCCTGAAGGAGGAACTGCTGAAATTTGTCAAGCAATTTTTCTGACTTAGGTGGTTTGCACAGTGTTTAAAGTTCTACGCGTTAATGTTTTTATGATATGAAGAACATTATGCAAAGATTTGGTCAACATATTGATAAAAATGATAAACAAATATATGATGTTCCAAAAGTTCCAAATGTACTGTATTTCCACAAACGTTGCAAAATGGGGTCCCAATTTCGTCATTTTCTCGTGGTGAAAGGGTCTGATGGTATCCATGGGAGCATTTGTCACCATGCTGTGACAGGAATCCGTGGGAGCTCTTTTCCGCACCTTGGACGAGAAGGAATTTGATGGTCAGAAATGGCTAGAAATGAGCTTCGTGTACGGCTGGGATCAGCAATCTTCATGTAGAATTATGATGCACCTGCATTCTATTTACTAGATTGTAGTAGTCTAATCATGTCTAATCTAATATACTCTATCTAGATATAATGGAATCTAAGCCCCTAAATCATCTACAATTTGTTACCTGTGTTGGCTATGTGTTTTGCTCCCTTCTTTGGGACCTCCAAAGTCTGCCAACCCCAGGAGTGGCTGCAGCCTTTGGAGTGCCATGGCACATTGATGTGCACAGCATACAGATGCCGCATATAAATAAACAAAATGAATATATATATATTATATATAATAATAATATGGACATTCCAGCATGCTTTCATGATGTTGTTCCCCACCTGCCAGGTGAGGGTTGTTAGATTTTATGTCAGTTGCCTGGTCCTCCTCGTCCTCCTCCTTCTCCTCCTCGTCCTCCTCCTCCTCCTCGTCGTCCTCCTCGTCGTCCTCCTCGTCGTCCTCCTCGTCCAACTGCGACCCGCGATCCACAGTGGTCTCTGTCGGACCTCAACCACGACCATCCACGCCCAGTGTTCCCTGCCGGACCTCAACCGAGAGTATCCACGCCCAGTGTTCCCTGCCGGACCTCAACCACGACCATCCCCGCCCAGTGTTCCCTGCCGGACCTCAACCACGACCATCCACGCCCAGTGTTCCCTGCCGGACCTCAACCGCGAGTATCCCCGCCCAGTGTTCCCTGCCGGACCTCAACCACGACCATCCACGCCCAGTGTTCCCTGCCGGACCTCAACCGCGAGTATCCACGCCAAAAGATATGCCACATAGAGTGCCAGAAGATATGCCAGATAGAATGTTAGAAGATATGCCAGATAGAATGCCAGATAGAATGCCAGAAGGTATGCCAGATAGAATGCCAGATAGAATGTCAGCTAGAATGCCAGAAGATATGCCAGATAAAGTGCCAGAATGTTTGCCAGATAGAATGCCAGCAGATTTGCCAGATAATATGCCAGAAGATATGCTAGATAGAATGCCAGATGGAATGCCAGAAGATTTGCCAGAAGATATGCCAGATAGAATGCCAGATGGAATGCCAGAAGATATGCCAGAATATATGCCAGAAGATATGCCAGAAGATATGCCAGAAGATATGCCAGAACATCTGCCAGAAGATATGCCAGAACATCTGCCAGAAGATATGCCAGGTAGAATGCCAGAAGATATGCCAGATAGAATGCCAGAAGATTTGCCAGTAACAAAATGTATAAATGTCATGGTGGGGATCACACGAAGTAAAGTAATTTTTTTTAGTTCAGCTGAATTGTTTTCCAAAACCGGCCGTTGTTTGTGGAGACCGGGAGACCTTGACGCATCGCCATTGCAGAGGTTGATGTGGTCCTGCTGGATTCTTCTTGCGGCGACCCCTTCCATCGCCGATCTGTGCGGGTGAAAGGCTCAGGTACCCTCTGGTAAACTAACATAGCTATTGAATATTGCCAATTTATAGGTGAATTACCCATAAAACATGGTGATTTTCCATAGTTATGTTGGTTTGCCGGAGGGTACAGCTTGTGAGCACCACACCACAGACTAAACTAAACATACAGCTACCTGCTTTTTTTGTCGCAATCACAGAATCACAGAAATTCACAGAACTTATTTAATGTGGTAAAATGGTAAGCCCAATGCCATAAAGCTTCAGTTTTGAATCCCATTCATTTCTGGTGAGTCATTGGAGGTGATGTATGGTTTTGTAATTAATGATTATCCACATAAACCACAATTAACCACTATTATTCATTATTCACCTCTGTTACACACTATTAACAGATAATAATTATACATAACTATAATCATGTAGTTTTAATAGTGTTATACTGTAGTTAATAGTAACGTATGTTATTAATAGTGTTATACTATAAAACAGTGTTATTTAACCACTATTTAACCACTATAAAACACTACTAACAACGTTTTTTGGAGACTTCGCACCCGGCCTGCAGGTCTCAATGGGCCAGGTGCTGCGTGTGCCATGTGCCATGGGAAGTCTTGAGGAGAAGTGAAGCCCCACAGGAAGTAGAGCCATTGCGAGATGACATAGATACCTTGGGCAATATTGAGGACTAAGAGAGATTGAAAATACCATACTAGATGATACAAGATGATACCCCATAGTAGACTTTATGATATATTATGATATATTATGCATTCTCTTCTTTCACCTAGATTTGCATATATATCTACATATATATATATAAATATATATATACATACATGTGTATTTTACAGCATGTACATTGTATATATGCACATGTATACTCTGAAGTAAAAGTAGATGGCTCAGAATCTTGAGTTGCGCCATCTATGTCAAAAAAAAAGGGGGATAGATGGCTCAACTCCCTTTAAAACAGGGCAGTTGAGCCATCTATGTCCCTAAAAATGACATATTTTTTGCAATCTTCTGCGCTGGTTTCTCCCCATTTTTTTTTCTCAACATCAAGCTGCTTTTTTGGGGCATAGATGGCGCAACTCCCGGGGTTGCGCCATCTATGTGGGCATTCCCAGCCTGATTTTGGCGAAATGACGGAAGTTATTTTGAGCCAGCAAAGGCCGAGACGCTTTAAAACCCAACTTTAACAAGTGACCTGAGGAACCGTTTTTGCCGTCAAGAAACGGTTCCTCAGGTCACCTGTTAAAATTTGGTTTTAAAGTGTCTCGACCTTTGCTGGCAAAATGACAGAAGTTGCGCCATCTATGTCCCAAAAAGGGACAACTCTGATGTCTTTCCTGGTGGTTTTGCCTCCTGTCTGGGGACAACTCTGATGTCTTTCCTGGTGGTTTTGCCTTCTGCCACAATACCCTTATATCCATCTACTGGAGTGGCAGTTGCGCCATCTACCTTTTCATTTTAAAGTAGGGCGATTTTTTCTTCAATTGGCGGACCTCGTTTTATGTTCCAGCTAAAATAGCGCCGTTTTCTTTCTCAGCGCGCGGTGCCATCTTATGGGTATTTTGGTTTTTGAGTTGAGCCATCTACTTTTACCTTAGTGTAATATTGGCACCATAACTCACACACACACATATATATATGTGTATAATCTGTGCGCACATGTGTATGTATATCAAATCATAAATGTAATTACGTAGAAATGCACATCAGTGAATATGTATATTATATGTGTGCAATTGTTTGTTTCCCTGTTGGCTCAGTCGATTTGAGTTTAACAAAAACCCATGTCTCTCTCCCTCTCTCTCTCTGTCTCTCTCTCTCTCTCTCTGTTTGAGAGCTCACTAGGGCAGGGCTAGACCCGTTTGTTTGCAGGAGCTTCTCCCTCAATTGCTCAGGGACGAGGCTCAGCCGAGCAAAGCAATAGGTCTCCACATAGAACGGGGACTTTCATCTGAAAATAGCTCCTCAAGTTGTGAGTTGACTCCAAACCAGGGTTTCTGGTGGTATAGAGTTATTGTACATCATGTTGGCCATCATGTTGAGTTAGGGGGTGGGAGTGGAAGAATGATTCAAAAGTGATGTGCTTTCAAAACAACATTTCTGACTTCAATTTGGAGACTCAGCCCATGACAGTAAACCAATCATATCTACTGATTGGGTTAATATGCCTAAGGTTAGCCAAATTTGTCACACTATGTCAAAGTTGCAACTTATCAGTCGCTATTGGCTAATCGGTGCTTGAACTCGTTGTGGCTGTCCCAGAACTTTCTGCATATGCCCGTTGGGTCCGCACATTCAACATGATCTGCTTTCTTTGCTTAATGAAACTTGTCTCGGCCAACGGCCCGCATAGGATGTGGATGCTGTTGCCCTTTGTGAAGACGAAGATGAGAGCTGCGTCTACCTGGACAAGTTGTCAACGATTCATCACCGCTTCTTTTCTCCATCACGGAATGCTTGACAGTTCCCCAATGATCAATCGGCCATAGCAACAGGCTGGAAACTGTTCAGCTAAGGCTGGGTCTGCCTCATAGGAGCCGAGGGCAATGTGGATTTGATGGCCTGCTGCAGGCTTGGAGTAGCATGGGCAATTGTACTTTCAGCTTTTGGGAAGACAACATGATTGCTTAGGGATCCCATGTTTGGCGAGTTTCCTTTCGTTTAGTGATGTAAACTATGGTAAAATGATGTAACATGTAGAAACCTTTGGGTCTCTTAGATTCTGTTGGCTGTTGGAACTGGTTTGGAACTGGTGATATGTGTCAGCTCAGGCATCGAGTGGCGATCCAAAAAGTGGCCAAGGGTGTGTCCCTGGGCGTGGCTGTTGCTTCCAGCATCATGTTGAACCTTGGCGCCGTGGCCATGGGGGCAACCATGGGATGTGGCGATGGAAAAGGATCTTGGCACATTGGAGGTGTATCCTGAATCCAAATTAAACACTCTTAAAGGCGTACCCACAATCAGATCTACAGATAAACACACGCAGATATATCTATGAATCTATTTATCCATCCATCTGTCTATCCATTTATCTATCTATCCATCTCTATCTATCTATCTATCTATCTATCTATCTATCTATCTATCTATCTATCTATCTATCTATCTATCTATCTATCTATCTATCTATCATCCTATCTATCCTATCTATCCTATCTATCCTATCTATCCTATCTATCCTATCTATCCTATCTATCCTATCTATCCTATCTATCCTATCTATCCTATCTATCCTATCTATCCTATCTATCCTATCTATCCTATCTATCCTATCTATCCTATATCTCTATCCTCTATCCTATCTATCCTATCTATCCTATCTATCCTATCTATCCTATCTATCCTATCTATCCTATCTATCCTATCTATCCTATCTATCCTATCTATCCTATCTATCCTATCTATCCTATCTATCCTATCTATCCTATCTATCCTATCTATCCTATCTATCCTATCTATCCTATCTATCCTATCTATCTATCTATCTATCTATCATCTATCTATCTATCCTATCTATCTATCTATCCTATCTATCCTATCTATCCTATCTATCCTATCTATCCTATCTATCCTATCTATCCTATCTATCCTATCTCTCCTATCTCTCCTATCTCTCCTATCTATCCTATCTATCCTATCTATCCTATCTATCCTATCTATCCTATCTATCCTATCTATCCTATCTATCCTATCTATCCTATCTATCCTATCTATCCTATCTATCCTATCTATCCTATCTATCCCATCTATCCTATCTATCTATCTATCTATCTATATATCTATCAATCTATCTATCTATCTATCTATCTATCTATCCTATCTATCTATCCTATCTATCTATCCTATCTATCTATCCTATCTATCTATCCTATCTAGCTATCCTATCCATTCCATCCTATCCATCCCTATCTATCCTATCCTCCATCTATCCATCCTCTCTATCCTATCTATCTATTATCCTATCTATCCTATTATCCTATCTATCCTACATCTATCCTATCTATCCTATCTATCCTATCTATCCTATCTACCTATCTATCCTATCTATCACTATCTAGTCCATCTATCCTTCTATCCTATCTATCCTATCTATCCTATCTATCCTATCTATCCATCTATGCCTATCTATCCTATCTATCCTATCTATCCTATCTATCCTATCTTTCCTATCTATCCTATCTATCCTATCTATCCTATCTATCCTATCTATCCTATATATCCTATCTATCCTATCTTTCCTATCTATCCTATCTATCCTATCTATCCTATCTATCCGATCTATCCGATCTATCCGATCTATCCTATCTATCCTATCTATCCTATCTATCCTATACTATCTATCTATCCCATCTACCCTATCTATCCTATCTATCTAGCTATCTAGCTATCTATCCTACCTATCCTATCTATCTATCCTATCTATCCTATCTATCCTATCTATCCTATATCTCTATCCTATCTATCCTCTATCCATCTATCCTATCTATCCTATCTATCCTATCTATCCTATCTATCCTATCTATCCTATCTATCCTATCTATCCTATCTATCCTATCTATCCTATCTATCCTATCTATCCTATCTATCCTATCTATCCTATCTATCCTATCTATCCTATCTATCTTATCTATCTATCTATCTATCTATCTACCTACAGAGATTCTGCTTGCCATTGGTGTATCAGGTTTTTGGCCCATATATTTGTTGTTGTTCCCTGCAATGAAGCAAAAACCTGCTCAGTATGGGATAGTTGATGGTTTGTGCTTGACCATCTTGGTCATCTTAATAGCTGCTGCTTCGAAACAGGTGCCTATTGTCCATCTCTATTATGTGGCAAAATGATTCCCCCATTGCGGAAGATTTTGGCATGGCTAGCTCAATCACCAATCAGAGCAGTTTTAAATTGGTTCTTGCTTGTGATAGGGTCCTTGTTTCCTCGTCAACAAGCTGTATTAGCACTTGCCTCTGAGCGCGTTTCACAGAAGTGCAGAAACTGTCACGCAATGTCCCGACAGAACTAGCATGTCTCCGAGGTACAGACATGAAGGCCCCAAGGATAGGCCTGCTTCCTTTTATTATATATCCAGTTCTGCATGGTGTGTCTCCGAGCCTAGGAATGGCTTGGCAGAGAGAGATGGTCGAACTCCGAAAGTAAGTGTTGAAGAAGCATTCAATCGGACGTTAATGGAGCCGATGCTGCCCGAAACGGGGGGAGAAAGAGTGATGTGAAAAAAGGGGGCGACACTGGTGACTGAATGACAAACTGTATAATGAAGTTGCAAGAAACTATCATTCACAATCCTTTATGTTTGATGTGAATGTGTGTAATTATTTACAACCATTTACACAATTTTAAACCAACCATATTGGATATTGGTGTGTTTTCAATTCCTATTTTGGGATGATGATGATGATGATGATGATGACGATGATGGTTATGTTTTTTTTGTTTGTTTATGTTTTTGTGTTGCTCGCATCGTTATAACAGCGATGTTTTGCTGGACCCAGATGGCCCGGTTTAAAGCATTGCCATATTTGCCCAGGCCCCATGCCACCGGCTTGAGTGCCTTTGCCGCTCTGGGGCAGGAGCTGTTTCCGCCCTTGTTTTGTTTTCCTCCATGGTAATGATGATCCAAGATGTACTGTACCCATCGGTCATTTAAGGTATTGAACATGGCCCTTTATAGATGATTCACAGTGTTTCAAAGTGGCATATAAGGCGATATGATGGCAACATCACCTCTCAATGCAGGCAATCAAACATGGATGGTTTGGACGCCAACTATAAATGGCTATTTAAATGAGACCACCATCTATAAATGGTGGGTGTTCCATTGCTATGTTTGATTGCTAAAGGGTACCCCAGAGTAACTCACAATATTCCAAGACAACCCATGTGAATCCCACATAGTATGATATTCATGCGGACCGCAGTGATAGCGGAGCTCGCAGGATGGACGAGAGACTCGCGGAGGCAATTCGATGAATTTAAACGAACAGGTTGCAAAAAATCTGTTGCAAAGACTTTAAAGAACATTAGGATAGGTGTTCTTTTTGTGAAGCTTTGCACGAGAGATAAACCTGGCTGGTGGATGGGTTGACAGCACTTATCCGTGAACCCAATTTCATGGCATTTTTGTTGGCACATGTTGGCACTACATTCCCATCTTTTGTCCTTAGCATTTGTCAGGTCTAAATGGTGAAGCCTAAAACTCAGCCACGGGCACCTGCCATGGTGGATGTCAGCTCGGTTGTGGCTGAGGTCGTCGAATGCCCTTGGGCACTGATTTTGCAGCCTGTGAGCAACGCTCCTTTGGCCGCATCCTCAATGGCAATGCCTGGTTTTCAATAACTGAAGCAACCGGGTAATGGACAACAACCCTCCCTTGATTCAATGGTTTTCCAATGCAAAAGAGCAAGTTTCCTCTCTCCAGTTTCGATGGTTGGTCACAGGGTGGCTCGGCTGAACTCCTTGGGAAGGCGATGGAGAGAGTTCAACTATGTTAAACTCAACTCGTGAATTGTGGTCATTGGTTGTTCCCATTGGTATATCCATTGGTGAAGCAACCATTGAAGAATGCGGTTCCCATTGAACGGCCCACAGATCAACAGCCTAGCCTAGTAGTTCCCCACTTTGGATCGTGCCCACTGAGGCAGCAGCTCCTCGTCGATCCAGTTTCTCCGGGGCAGAGAGTGTTGCGCCGTGGGGATGCTTGGAAACTGGCTGGTGCAGGTGTGGTGCCATGGGACCTCAAAATGAAGTTTATATAGAGGTTTTAATTTCAATCCGGAAAATCTTATGGAGCGAATAGTTATTTTTTATTTCTAACTGGTTGCTTGATTCACATGGAGCGTTTTTTTTAATTATATATATGGGTGTTCATGATGTTTATCTTTATATATTGACATGTTATGGTTTGATGTGTTGTGGTTGTCATATGGACATGCTCTGAAATATGAATAATGCAAAAAAAACAACGGAAACATGAATATGATAGCACTTCACGAGAAAATTATGATGATCCCCTTGGCACCTTGATTGTTTGTGATGATTCCCTTGATTGAAGTCTGAGGGAACCCCAGTTTTGACATGCAATGGTCATGTCCCCGAACGAGTTGCAGGGCACTGCAAAGAATGCTGAAGCTACCTCCGGGGACCACCCTGTACGAGGCACAACTTAATGACATTGACAGTTGGGTGATGCCAACAGACTCCAAGAATGTCCATATCGTTCTGCGTATTTGAGCCGCAGCATGCCTGTCTTGGGCCCAAGAATGATAAACCCACAGCCATTTCTCCACGGACTTCTACAAGCAACCTGCTTGTTGCATGGCAGGTGTATGCCTGCCCATCCCCTGGAGCAGCCTTTGAGGCAAGATCTTGTGCCATGGCCAGTGTAAAACCTTTGTAATCCAACTTCCAGGGTGTAGTGGAGTGGTGGGGGGACCGGGGTTGAAGACAATATTCTTGCAATGTAAGATATGTAAGGGATTGGGCCCACCATGCCTTTCTCACTTTGTTTCACGTGCCAGTCTGGCTGGCTGCAGCTGATTGGTCGGATTATCTCAGCATCAAAGCCTGAAAACTTAGCTTGGGATGGGGAGGAGCCAAGATCCAATGACCTTGAAGCCCATGCATCCGCGGTATTGCTGAGGTTTATTTTGGAGCCAGTGTCGGAGTCGCAACCTTAGCGGTGTGGAACCGTGCCCTTGGAAGGATTGCCAGGTTGGAGCTCCCATTCATGACAAGTTGGGGGTCCACGGATGCAACAACATTCGAACAAGGCATAACATCTAAGTTTCTGGAAATATGGGATCTATGATAGAAAAGGACACGTACCTGACATATTGTCAAACACATTGTCACAAGGACATAATACATGAACATGTTTTTTTTTAAAATGTATATATATATACACCGAATATTATACTTGCAATGTCTATCCAGAGCAGTTCTGCCATATCATGGAAGTCATTGGAAGACCTCAACTGGCTACCCAGGGACTTGCATCAACTCCGCTTCCGACACCAAAAGAAGGTGGGACAGACACCACTTCCGGCAGTGCTAAGCAAGCCGTTGTTGGAAGTTTGTGACAGGAAGTGCCATGGCGTGGGGTTGTGGCTCAAAAATTGTCACATTTACAGTATCTCCCCCAAAAATAGACCACCCCACATCATCCCCGCCAAAAACTGGCAACTTTCCAAAGCCATAGCTTGCCATAACTTACCCTCTGGTAAACTAACATAGCTATTGAAAATGGCCATTTATAGTTGATTTACCCATTAAACATGGTGATTTTCCATAGTTATGTTAGTTTACCAAAGGGTACCCCAGGCAAAACGTACATTCCGTTCTTGGTTTTTCATGGTCGCCAGCCACAGCGGGATGGCCAGCGCCAGGAAGAGGATTATGTGCTGCGACCAGAATGGCTCCAGGACCAACGACTGCACCGTGTCGACAGTTGGATCATGTTGGATCCATCGGATGACCAGAAAGAAATTCTGGTGATTGATGATCTAATAGTGATGATTGGTGTTTTTTTTAGTGGACGTAAGTGGAATTAAGTCCAAATACATGGGTGTGGATGTGTAAGTGGAATTAAGTCCAAATACTCATGACCGGTGGGGGGGGTCACTTAAGTCGGATTGTTTGCCGACCAGAGGCAAATTTCCGGGCATGCTTCAGGCAACTTTCAATGACGTCCTGATCAGATTCATTCAGAAAGATCGGGTTTCAGGTTGTGAGATGCTGCAACATTTGCTCCGTCCCAAGAAGTTTGCGTTCCCCTTTTGCCGTAGACAGTTGCCACTCAGACAGAACAGCCATGGGGCTCGCTTTCACCAAGATATGGCAGCGGATGATTGGAAAGCAGGACACGGGTGCCGGTGCCAATATGACCCAGCCATGTCCTTCAGATATAATCCCTGCACCCCAATATCAACCCAGAAACCATGGTTATTGGTAGGAGATTGACACATATTTGAATCCATAGAGGGCTGTTTAATGAATCAAAGTTTCCCATGTAAGCTGGGGATGGGAGTGTTAAAGTCACCTCACAGGGTGACTTTCTGAATCACCATGTTACGTGGCCCTCAGGAGATGCGTATCCTCATGGTTGGTTTGGATGCCGCAGGTAAGACGACCATCCTCTACAAGCTGAAGCTAGGCGCGGCCGGACTCTGAAGGAAGTAGGAATGAGATGGGAAAAACTTATGCTCAGCTGCCCGAAGGGAAGTAATTAATTACATGAAAAGTCGGAAAAACATAAAAGAGACAAAATCAAAGCCTGGAGGGTAACAAACTTTATTCTGGGCACGTCGAAGGTATAGTGAAGTGCTCACTGAGTGAATCTTGCACCAGCACTTGCTACCGTACTGAGGATGTCATCATTGCTCTCACATGCGGGTGTCCTTCCTTTCCTTGATGTTTTTTTCAAAAGCTCAGGTCGAATGTTTGTGTCACATGTGGGGTTGTTTGAGAAGGGGGGGCTGCTGTACCATGTTTTTTATTTATGGTCATTTAGTGAGAACTATGATGAGAACCATTGGAATTGGGGTAGCACATGTTCAGACAAACCCATGTGTACAATTCGAATGCTAGGCTAGGGGTTGTTTGAACATAGGATACCCTATGATAATCTATGATACCTCCAATTTTGCCTGGTTTATCATCATAAAATAAAGGTCACATGGGGGTGAATTCCCCCCATTTTCAGACACACACATGATATTGCTGGTGATTTAATCATTTATTCCGTTAAGAACCATACATAATATATTATAGAATATGATATACAATGATATACATATCCCCCCATTGATGATGATTTAATCCTCATTCTACCATGATACGTAGACAGACAAGTTCCCATTCTCGCAAGGGTAACGTACATCACTTGTCACCACACCACCATTTCAACCATCGGATCCAACAGGTGAAGTTGTCACCACCATTCCAACCATCGGATTCAACGTGGAGACCGTGGAGTACAAGAACCTGTCCTTCACCGTGTGGGACGTGGGAGGCCAGGACAAGATCCGCCCCCTGTGGCGCCACTACTACCAGGGAACCAATGGGTTTTTCGGCGGCAGTTGTCCATCAAAACGGGATGCTGGGGATGGGTTCAAAAGCTGGGTACTTGAAAGCTGGTTGACTGGTGGCTGTGTTGAGTGGTTGCTCAAGGATTTGAAATAGCCTACTCAAAAGCAATTTGGTGTCCGTCAAAATGGGACGCTGCAGTGATATTGAACCTCCCACATATGGATCCACATAATTATATCCTGATACTGAAAAGGTACTTCCTGAAAAGGTGCTTAACCCCACAAAAAGAAGAAACACTCCAGAAATTGCCTGAGTCATTGTTTAACAATGTAGATAAAGATTGACTGAACATTGCGTAGATTAGAAAACTGTTGCTTGCAGGGCTTGACATTTGGACCTGTAAGCTTCAAGATGCTGTAGAGCGGTTCAATTGAGATTTCACAGCTATATAGTGAATTTAGATGCAATTAGGTGAATTTAATGGCAAATGAGTCCATGTCCTTTCTCGATTTTGGCAGGTTTTCCATGGTTTTCCTTTCTAATTGGGGCAGGTTTTCCATATATCCTATCAGTTTCGGTCCCAATCCCGAGGCTCATCTATGTGGTTGACAGCAATGACCGCGATCGTATCGAAGACGCCCGCGAAGAACTCACCAAGATGTTGAACGAGGACGAGATGCGCGATGCGGTGCTTTTGGTCTTTGCACCTTGCCAAAGCTGATGAAGACAAATGGAGAAAAAGAACAACCCAACCCGAATGCGTTCTTAACCAATTAAGCATCATGGCGTATGTATGATGGAGGATATTACCAATGAGCTATAATATGAATTGATCAATGGTTCTCAAGTGTTTTTTTTTCCCATTCCTAGTTCGAATGGTGACCCCAATTAGCTCCTCTCTCTTTTTTTTCTCGTCTTTTGACTCCAATTTGAGTTTAATTTCTTCGATGCCCGTCTGCGTGACTGCGTGCTGCGAGTGAGAGTGCTTCCCGCCTTGTGTGAATAACAATTGGCTGATATATGTTAATATATATATATATTTATATGTAGTATGTAGTACTGAGTGCCTCCCGCCTTCTGTGAATAACAATTGTTTGATATATATATATAGTATTTTATAGTTATAATATATATATATATGTATACATGTAGGTACATTATATATATAGTTGCACACACTGACACACACATATATATATATATAGTTTTTTTTTTTCTGTAGACATGTATCTGTATATATATATATATACACATCATGAAGGAATAAGTGCAATCCATGCAATGAAAAAATACCCTCCAACGTACACCCCAATCAAACAACAAAGAAAATCATCGTTGTTGCTTTTGTCCCCCCAGTTTTGGACATAATCGTTTGATTTCACTAGTGAGCTGCTCGTTGAAGGTATGTATATTTGTTTTTTTTGTTTGTTTGTTTGTTTGTTTGTTCGTTCGTTTGTTTTTCCAACCTGCCTGTGTGAAACATCAGATGTCAGCTTACTTTTGGAGGGTCCAGGATCTTGATGTGTCAGTCAGCTCTGTTTGGGGACAGGCTGAGCAAATGACCCATTGCAGCCTTCAAGTGCACATCAATAGGATATCCCCATGTAAATGATGTGGGAAACCCAATAATGCACCTACCATTCGTGGATGGTGTATAGGATATAGGACCCATTTACGGTCATTTTGGGGATGGTTTATTGCTGATTTACCACCTCAAAAAAAAGAAAAAAAAACAGGGACCAGCTACCTACTTGCTATTGTTGTTATGTTATGATCAATTAAATGTTGATGCTCACGCGATTTGTTGTTTAAAAGTAGCCTTGTTGAAGTGGCATCATCCCCGAACAACCATCCCCAACAGCGACCTCGTTTCGCCGAGGCCAACAAGCAGGACTTGCCACAGGCCATGACCGCCGCAGAGGTCACAGAGAAGTTGGGTCTTCACAACTTGCGCCATCGCCAGTGGTTCATTCAGTCTGCCTGCGCCACTACGGGTGATGGTGCCTTGGCTGCCTTGGTGATGGGTTTGCAGTTAACCGGACTGAATGATGGATGCCAGGAAGTCAGTTTGGGAATGGCAGAGGTCATTCGGGGGAGTTATGTCTACTCGCCTTTCTTATTTGCACAACTTGAAGGAAATCGCAGGGCATGTGTGTGATTGTTTGTCAACCAATTTACAACAACAAGTATGAACAACTGCCCGTTTGTGCATCCAACTTGAGATGGACAGATTATTTTATAATTCACAAACTACCTATATAATATTTACTCTTGGCAGACTGTTCTTTGGAGGTTTAGTTGCTCTTTGGGTGTTCCGCAACTTCCACAAGATCATGGGGCTGGACTGAACGTGCATGCTTAGGCTTGTACGAAGGTTTGGATTGGCTTTCCCGCACCTTGTCCTCCAAGCGCTGAGCAGCCCATTGGGGACTGCTTGGCAAACACTGACCAGAAGGGTTGGAAGTCTCCCAGCAAACTGGGGCGTGTCCTTGTGTAGTGGATGCGAGTCAGAATGTATCGGGGGGGTTCTAGTCCTTCGGCATGTCCCTCTGTAGCCGGATATGTCTGGTCGGATACTGCAGGTCTGATATGGAAAAGGGGCTTGAAGTTGTGCACAGAGAACTCCAACCTTGGGCAGTACTAGTGGTTACTAGTGTGAATGCAACAAAGCCATGCTTCTCATGCATGGACATATTCTCATGTCCTTGGTAAACCGACTGGAGACCAGGAGCTGAATCGTTCTCATAGCGCCTGTGGCTGGGGCCCTCAGCAGGACATCAGCTGGGTGAAAACAAAAAAGGGGATGGATCAAGACCTATGATTAGTATATTTGGGAGGGATGAACTTCCATAAATCCCAGCTACCAGCTATTTTCTGGTTTACTGGGGTGCCAGGATACCCAAATACAAATTACATCCCGGTGGCAAAGAGCAGGATATTGGATGCTGCATCACTTGTCGCATCGAATCTCAAAAACAATGTTGAGAGAAATCATCAAGACGGGTAGAGGAGGCATGTACCATGATCACACTGTGACACATGATGGACCAAGAATTTACACCCAAAGCCCTGAATATCCACAGACGTTGGTCATTGCCGGTCAATCATTGTCCTAACAATTTTCAACTTTACAATGTTGAGTTCTATCATGTTCTATCATGTTCTATCAATACCGTCCGCAGTTACATGGTTAGGACTTGATTAGGATTAAGATGGGTTCCACGTTATATGTAATAGGGGTTATACTTATATATATATATATACTCATCCATATGCGCTTATCCAGATATACTTATATATAAACACTTATACATAACTATACATATATATATATTATAACTGTATAATATCCCAACATCATGGTGGCAATTTCTCTCTTGTGATCTCCATGGTCCCAGGCAGTGAGCACTTCACGCGGCTCCTGGAACGACAACAGCGGAATCTCTCTGGACAGGGCGGGGCCTTCATTGCTGACACGCTGCCGTCCAGCACGTGCCGTGCTCAGAAAACCAGGGCAGCTGGAAAGTAGGGGTCAGGGAAGCTGGGATGATCTATAGGATTATCATGGATTATCTATTTATTCTGATTGGTGGTTTGGAAATGTTTGGAACATGAATTTGATTTTTTCCATATATTGGGAATAATCAGCCCAACTGACTAATATTTTTCAGAGGGGTTGAAACCACCAACCAGTATTATGATCTATGAAATAATGGGATAGAGAATGGGAGACATATAAATAATGGGATTGTAACCAGTTGCTGGGCAGTGTAGACTGTGTAGACCAAGAAGGATGCGGGTGTTTTTCGATGATGTGATGAGATTCGTAGGATGTGGATGATATTCCACTCCGCCGCCATGTTTAATGGGATTTTCGTGAATTTTCCTGTGAAGAAATGTGATTTGGATATATTTGGTTGGAAAGCTGCCAGAGCCTGCTGCCAGGTGGGTTTGGAGCACGGGAATGAAGGCGCATCATTGGTTTTCAGCCTATGGGAGCTTCCGAAAGCTGGGGTCGGAATGCCTATGAATGGAACTTGGGGGATTGTTAGGCCGCGATGTTCTAGAAACACTGATCATTATCATCATGTCAAATGTCATAGCTGCGCACCAGGCGCAAAGGTGTGGTCTAACATGCAAAAGACACAGAGCTCTCAGTTCCGCGCTGGTCGACATTTCGCATAGCCTGCGCATAGCCTTCGCAGTATAGGAAGCATTGTGGGCTTTTATGCATGGTTTTGCGTTTTCTGCTGACGGTTCCACATGCAGGGAAAATTGGGCCTTTCCTTGAGGGACAAGCTTCCAGACATGGAAGTAGAATTGGACAAGTATTGTGCAGGTTGCTGCCTTCTCATGCCTTTCTCCAATATTTTCAGATCAAATAAACACGCACACATTTGATAATTAACCATGTGAATGCGATTAAATAAATAAATATTATATGATATATATATATATATATCATATATATATTATATAAATTTTGAACATATGGACGTTGGATGACGTTCGGATACTGCTTCAGCGGCAGGCGCAGCAGGGCCTGAGCAGCTTCCCCCGGAGCATCTCCACCTCGGCCACAGTGGACAGGCTGAGTTGCACTGATCGGATCACAACGCTCACAACAGCGATGGTTGTAGAATGTAAGGAAAAATCTAATGCTAGTGAATAATATAGTGAGTAACAATGAGTAATAGACAGTGAATTTATAGTGAAGTCACGATATGTTATATGTTCCCTTTGAAGTAATATGAATAAAACAATCATGATCGTCATCATGATGCTCATCATTGCCGATCATCACATCATCGTCATCATCATGATTATCATCGTCAGAGTTTTCTTCTTTGTTTTCGTGGGTTTCCTTTTCTTCATGTTTGTCCTTTTCTTATTATCCTTCTTCTTGTTCTTCTTTTTCTTCTTCTTCTTTTTCTTCTTTGTTTTCTTCTTGTTCTTATTCTTTTTCTTTGTTTTTTCTTTTTCTTATAATTGTCCTTATTGTTTTAAATATGTTTTCTTCCTCTTTTTCTTTGTTGTTTTCTTCTTCGGTCTCTTTGTGTTTTTATTATCTTGTTTTGTTTCTTCTTCTTCTCCTGTTTTCTTTTGCTTTATCTCATTCTGATTTTCCCCATTCATCATCGTTGGAATTCAGTGGGCTTGTAGCTGTATGTAGTTTTTTTTTTATTCCAGACATTTGGCACTTCGTGATATGACTATCCCACTTGACTGTCAGAGTCATATCCTTTTAGATGGTTTGAAATCAACAATCACTTTCACATAGGTGACCACCAACCAGTCAAAAACCTGTAGAGAAACATGACACAATATGAAACATCGGTCAACATACATCAGCTTTTGTTTTTGTGTCATGCAAAGCCGACAGATCCCCAGTCATGCCCCTCCAACTGGACATCTGCCTGCGCCCAGCTCACGGGCCACGTCTCCAGCCAGCACCGCGGCGAGATCCAACTCCAGGCTCTCGAAATTGAGAAAGATAGGGACAGCGATGAGAATAACTACCCTGCAGGTCCAAACACTTGCTTAGACTGTGCTTGGAGGATTTTTCCCCAAACAGTGTGTCCACACTGAGTATGCTAAAGGGCCAGGGTTAGATCAGGGTACGCTCTCTGCGGCGCAGAATGTTTGCTGTAAATTCCCGCGTAAAAGTGCCCTCGCGAGATGTCCATGTGCATTTCGACTGCCCAGGCTCGCACAAAGTGCAGGCCCCGGTTGGCCTCGGGCTCAATTTTTCGTGTCAGGCGCAGTACTTTGTAGACTTCGGCAAAAAAGTGGCTGAAACCCGCAACCTTCTGGTCACTTTCTGTGTGTGTGTGTGTCAAGCTCTGTACCAAAGAGTTCCTCACTTTCTTGCGACTGATTCCAACCAACTAGTTTTCAACTGCTTTCCACCATAAATTTTGGATACCGTTGCATTTTAATTCATAGCAGGGGGCACAAGGACCTTTGGTGAGTCTTGTGCCAATGAAGACACTCACCTTAGGTTGTGAAAACGTACCTGCATGATGCACCTGGATGACATACCCAATATGTTGGGGTCATAGCTGGTGGTCATATTCGTATCTGTTAGTACTTTATGGGATCAGGCTAACCCAAGAACCTGCATGCCGTCATTCAGTCATTTCATGATCACGTTTGATTGAGTCGTATTGGTTTCTCTTTTAAACAACCTGACATTCAAATGTCAACGGATAAGCTTGGCCTTTTTAACTCGGTATGGCCGAGTGATGCCTTCAATCTACCATGAGGTAATCAGACTTTGCATTCATGAAAAGAGACCGTCTTTCATGACTTCGCAAGTGTGTATTTCGGCCGTGGGATCTGTCAAAGTCCGGTCGTGATCCTGGAATTCCAGGCGTCGTATCTCCCCTGGGGGTGCGAGAATCCACAAGTGAATTTGACTCTTGAATTCAGCCACGGTGGCTCATTGCAATGATTGAACGTGTGTCTCTGACACAAAGCGTGCATTTGAGAGAATAGATCCCGGTATGCTATCCGGCAAAAATAGCTTGAATCCACTGAGTTTGAACTTGAATTTGACTTTTGACAATTTTGGCGACTGATAGTCACCAATAAGATGAATTTTCTGAATTCCACACTTGAAGCCTCAGCATTGAATTCCAAATGGATGAATTGTGTTTGTACACATGAATGCCTTTTGGTGTACAGTTGAGCAAGCAACAATACGTTATCACTTGTTAGTTGTCTAACTGATCAATCCTTGTACAGTTAACAAGTTGTCATATTAGACAACACATTTTCCATTTTCCTTTCTCTAGATTTCTGAGCCATGTCGACTCCGGTGTATAATGTTTACTTTGTGGCCGGCAACGTGGACCCGACTCCACCTCGGCCACCCAAAGCACCGGCGAAGCCAGCAGTAAGACTGGCATTGACACCACATGCTCCTCCAGCAACTCCGGTAGCAGCCCCAGCCGCAATTCCAGGAACGATCTCCGTACCTCGTCGACCGTCAGCAGTCCAACCTGCGGTGCCGGTTGGAACAGATGATGACAAACAGGAAAGACGCACAACATCAAGTTGCTCCAGATCCAGAACAAGACGTCGTCATCGAGCATCCCATCACCGTCACCATCATCGTGATCACCATTCTCCGAGGTCCACTTCGAGATCTGAAAGAGGTAGGTCAGTTAGAACGGCTCGTTCTTCTTTCTCTCAAGCTCTCCGTCCTCCACCAGGTCAATGGGACATTCATACTGGTCTTTGGGACCCGTATGTTGGAAACATTCCTCCCAGAGCGCATGTTCCTCCTCCCAGAGTTCCTGCTCCTCCTCCCTTGAGACCGTTTTCAGCCTTCCCTCTATTAGATCGCTCAGGACGTCACGAAATGACACCAACCAGTCAGCCAGTCACTCCGAACCAGGCAAATATTCGATCTTGGTTAAAAAATCATCAAGATGATGACTACCCGATGATGGACAGTATGGTGAAATTCGTTGCACAAATTCTGGACTCCACCAGGTATACTCCTGATCATTTGTCCACAATGAAGTTGCTTGTTTATGACCCTCAAGATCATGAACATCATCCTACTGATTTGGGCAAGAGTCATTTTTAC